TGTCAACTCATCTATCCAATAATCCAAACATAAAATTTTAAGATTTGTTTTGCAAAATGCCGTTTTTGAAATGTCATTTTTCAAAACTGCTATTTTTTTAAAAAAAAATCGAAAATACTACTAAAATTATATTATTTATTCAAAATACCATATATGTTTGGGGTAACTATTCTATGTTAGGATCTAGTTTTTCGGGCTTAGAGTTTGTTATGGATCAAAACATTTTCTGAAAAATTTAGTGTTTAAGGCTTAAATTTTTTTTATTGGTGGTATTTTTGAAAGTGGATATCTCAATGTATCATTTTTGAAAAGTCCATTTCAAAAGTGCTTTCTCCCAATATATATATAACAAAAAAATTCTATAAATTAATAAACACAAAAATTTATTAGTTTTCAGAACATGAGTTATGCCATTTTAAATTATAAGTGAATTCGATAAAATAATAATTTTTATAAATTTTTATGTAAATATATTTATGCCATATTTATTGTTTTAGAGATTTTCAATGTTCTTAAACAAACACTAAGGAAATCCGTTCCTGCTCAATCAAAAAACAGGTGAAGGTCAGAGAAAACACGATTGAAGGTGTTTTTCAACGGCTCTGTGACGATCAAGTAAGAAAAAACAAAAGAGGGTGAAGAGAAATGATCACGAGAAGTCGTGGAGAGAAAAGAAAATATAGGGCGGAAAATTTTGAAAGAGAAATGATTAACTCAAAGCTGAGCAAAAAATGGTCTTCCTGAGCCTTGGGACCCGCCTAGGCCTTGTGACACGTGGAATCGTATGATTCATTTAAATCAAATAATAATTTTCTCCCGAAAATCCAATCTTGAATGCAGTCATACGAGTCAGAGTCTTGGACGCGGACAACATATGAGACTTCTCTTTTTCTATGAGCATAAATTTTCTCCCGGAAGTCCAATCTTGAATGCAGTCATACGAGCGTGCACTTTCTTTGTATCAATTCATGAATACAGTCGTACAAGCATGCATTCATGATTGCAAACTGTTTACTGTGATAGTAAACACAAGAATAAAGATTGGAAGCTTGGGACCTAAAGACATATTTAAAAGTCGGAGCATGAGTCTGGAGATTTAAGGGCATGAGAACCTTAATGAAGGCTAAGCCTAAGTCCGTAGACCTGTGGAAACATCCTTAAAGGCTTTTGCCTGAGTCGAGAGATATAGGAGGGCCCGAGATTCTCTTTGCAAGTGGTTGCGATAATCTAAATCTGAAAACCTGACAAGAAGAATGAAAACTCCTGCAAAGGTTATGATAACCTGAGTCGAGAGACATGATAGAGAGCATGAAAACTTTCATGGAGGCCAGGGGTCTAAGTTAAGCGATATGTCTCCTCGGAGACTATTAAATGGATCTAGCATTCCAAAGGATAGAGCCGAAGGACCAGTTCTGCTCTAAAACCGAATCACATAGGGATAGTACCCTGAATAGAGTATCGGGAAATTAAGCTACGTTCCGAACAATTTAAGTCTCTAGAGTTTTTGGGCCTTTAGGCCTCTTTTTGTTGGGCTACCTAAGGCATGTTTCGGTTATATATGTTTACTTATATATGATACTAGGTAGAGGACTCGTGCGTTGCACGGGTTTGTCAAAAAAATTAAATAGTATATGTCAAATAAATTTTGTGTAATACATAGAATAAAATTATAGAAAAAAATTAAATGCTATATTTCTTTTTAAGGAGTGAGTATAAAATGATTTATATTAAGAGTAAAATAATTAAAAATGGACGTAAATAAGGATAAATATAAATGATTCAAACTTAACTAATGCCTACAACATAATTGTTATCTCTCTTAATAGTTATGTAAATAATTTCATCGAGGAGGCCCTATTCATGAAGGAGTGTTGTCCAAATGAAAGTGAATATAAAATGATAAACATAAAAGTAAATTGGCCAAAATTGTTATTTACTACTTTGGCACATATGCAAT